TCAAGACCAGAGTCATTCTATTCCATCTTTGGTTAAATTAATAATTAAAAAAAAAACAACCAGATATGCAGTTGATGAAAAAAATGGGCTTGCAATTTTTTTTTATTTTTATTAAAGAAGCATCATAATTTGGACGTTTGTTTCAGGTGTGGCCCCGCACTGGTGCTCATGCATGGTGTCGCAGGATGTTGATGTCAGCAGTGCACGTGCTGAAGAGGCAGCATCTAAAGTTATAGACTATATCAATGGCCTGACATCTCAACACAGAGAGAAGTGTAGTGTGCTACACCTTGATAAGATCCTTAGTGTCAGGTTGCTAGCACCAAATGAACAGGTAATAAGTGCTATACTGTCTGTGTTAGTGATGTATATTTTTATGGCAGTGAGAACTAGTTTGATTGTTATGTGTAAATAAAGTTATCTTAGATAACCATTAAAATAATTTTGGTAAAAAGTGAAAGGGGAATGTGACAGGTTATAGATGAAGTTATGAAATGCTGAAGTGATAGTTACCGGATAAGGAAAAAGAAGCAGTTAAAACAAAGACAAGTAGACACACAGTGATTGCAGGCCACATTTGATAAAAAGAAAACTTGATAACACATCCTTTGATCTCTTACTTAGTATTTTGTCAAATTGATTCTGTAAGTTCTGATTTAGAAAAATTAACAAATGGGATTCTTTATTTTAGTTTCTAGCAAATTTTCATGAGTAGAAATGTTTGTCTTCAGTGCTGGATTGATGAAAATGAAAGGATACAGTTAAGATGAGAAAAAAATTCAGACATCTCAAAATTTACGTATACCTGTTAGTTGATGTTTAACATGTAAAAAGGTACATTGGACAAGTTTTAAATAATTTTCTTTTTACCTACACACGTCTTCAGGTGCTGAAATATTTTAACAGTATGGATGCAGACCAGCGAATTGCCAATTTTACTTCCAAGGTCAAGGTCGACATTGTCCATTACCAGATCACCTTGGTTACCTCTCCTAGCAACGCTATGTATGAGTCAACATTACAGTACAACATTGGGGCAGAGAGACTGGAGGTTACCCCAGATATCAGCAGAATCAATATATATGGCAATCAGCCATATTGTGTACAAAAAGACCATCCGGATTTGAGGAAGTATTGTTTCTGCGCGGACTATCAGAGCTGGGAGAAGAGAAAGAAAAAATTGAAACATGATTAAATTAAGATACCTTATTGATTGCTGCTTTGACTTTTTAGTTGGGAGAATGATCTTTACTAAAATATGGGGAATATGGGGAAATTTTACTTTTCACTTTTTATCGAATCTTTAAAACTTTGAGGAAAAGACTTTTCCCATTTGCGTATGTATAAGTATACAAACATATTAGTGGATGGGACAAATATTGTCACTTGGTTTTGTATAAGGTTCAAATATCAGTTTTTATGATAGGATTAGTGATGGATTTTCCCCCCTTTTTTTTGGAGGGGGGGGGGTAATTTTGAAATAGAACAAGTATCTGCATTATGATATTTTAAAGGTGCTGAGATTGACAAGGTGCTTTCAGAATTGTTATATGTATGTGTGTGTGTGAAAGAGGTAATTTTTCATTCATCATCTTATTGCATATAATACGGGCTTTTATTTGTAGGTGATTTTTGTTCAGATAATTTTACTCTATATAGGGGAGCAAAGTTTACTTTGAAGATTTACCTTTTTTTAGGGAAATTTGGGAGGATTTTATATCACTAAAAATGTGAAAAAAGTTGGAGAAACAGGAAGGGCTTCATTGCAAAGTTATTTCTGACTGGTCAGTTTCCCCAATGTACTTTCCAGACTTAAAAGAGAACTTAAATTTTCAAAATGTGTTCAGAATGTTTTTCATATAGATGTCTACTCTCACTAAGGCATACTTAACAATCTGTTCAAGATGTCTACAAGAAGTCCATTATTGAGCTGTAATGTTTATCCCTTTTTGTCAGTATTTTATATTTTTAATGACAGTGCAAACTCCACAATCTGGTAATTTACATCGTTTTAATTATGCAATAAACTGAATAACTCAAAGACAGCTGTTGTTTTCTGGACTGCACCAAAAATGGCATGTTGAATGGGAGACACAGGTTTGAATGGACAGTGGAGATGAAATCAGAACTTCTTAAAAGTAATTAAATAATAATTTTTTAACAAGGCAGCAAAGCTGTCAAGTGTACAGACAAAAAGTGGAAAATAATGCATAAAATAGGCTACTGTGAATTCTGATGCAAAAGCACATTATGCTTAACTGCAAATTCAACATCAAATTTTAATTATGCTCAACAGGTAATACCAATGTAAGTAAAATGTGTAACAAGCATAAGGCTTCAGGCCCAAGGGAGTTCAGGTTCACACTTTGAAAATGCCAGAATGAGAAAAATGAACATTTCACAAAAAATTGCATTCAATAATAAATGATCACCATATTGAGCTGACTTTCTAATTTGAACTGCTTGACCATCCTAAAAATCATACTTGTAAGTTAAAAATAATAATAAGTAACACAGTTTTCTTTTCATAATATTTGTAGCAACAGTGCAAAAATATTTTTGTCAATTTTGATGTAACAGAATAATTATCAACTTTTGATCATTGACTATAAATAGCATGGACTATAAATAGCATGTAAATTTGATAACCATTCGGCTTCATGTCCATGGGAGCTCTGAGTCCCACAATGAATATGCCAAAAAGATAAAAATAAAAAATGTATAACTTCCAGAAAAAGAAGCCAATTAGACTGCTTTTTCAACTAAGGCTGCATTTTGATCCTGTGTTTCTTTTTGAAAGTTTGACAATCATAAGTAATGTGGTTTTCCTTAAATGGTCATCATGGCAGCAGCACCCAAAATTGTGTTTTATTCTATTTTGATGCAATATTACATAATGCTTAACAGCATAATGACCATCAATTTTAATAATAAAATATATGTATCATGGATTTTCAGAACATGTGACTAGCATGGGTCTTCAACCCCATGGAGGTTCTAAGTCACACCTTGAAAATGCCAATATGTAATAAATTTAATTTTCACAAAAAAACTGTTAAACTGCCAGAAAAATTTACCAAACAGATTGCATTGTCACTGAAGCTGTATTTTAGTCCCATGTTTCATCCCTGAAAGTTTGAGAACAGTAAGTGACATGGTTTTCCTTAAATGGACATCATGGGAGCAGTGCCCAAAAAAAGGGGTTTCTTCAAATTTTGATGCAATATTATATAATGTTTAACAGCATAATGACCA